TAGTTTTGAGGCCCTAGGTGAGGAATTTAACTTCTTGGGACTCAGTTTCTACATCTGTTAAACGGGAATAATAATAGTAATTAAGACATATGGTTGTTTTGAGGATTAAATGAATTAATACATGTAAAGGGTTCAGAACCATGCCTGGTAAATAGTAAGCACCCAGTAAACATTCCTTCTATTTATATTTTCTCTGCTCCTCTGACACGCTAAAACAAATCACCTTCAAATATTGCCTTTGGACATTAATATTATCATATAACATTTTGTAATCAATATATTGGACTTATCTACTTTTCCCCTTTACAAGTATATTTTAAAAATAGAAAATAAAAAGTTTTACTGATGTCTCATTAAAACCAATTGCCGTCGAATTGATTCCAACTCATGGCAACCCCATGTGTGTCAGAGTAGACCTGTGCTCCATAGGGTTTTCAATGGCTGTGGTCTTGGAAGTAGATTGCCAGGCCTTTCTTTTGGGCACCTCTGGGTAGATTCGAACCACCAACCTTTTTGTTAGTAGCTGAGTGGTTAACTGTTTGCACCACCCAGGAATTCCAATATCTCACTAGGAACCTCTATAACCACATTCAAGTATTAGGACATGTGAAATATTTAAAGAACATTTTGTAAAATATATAGATATAGATAGATAGATACAGATATGACAGAAAACATGCTTGAAGGACATACACCAAAAACTTTTTCAGTATCTGAGGGATTATTTAGGGTTTTTTTAAATTTTTTTTATTATTTTGTTTCTTTTTTCCTTTACTATGTTTTAAAATAGAAACCCTGGTGGAGTAGTGGTTAAGTGCTACGGCTGCTAAACAAAAGGTCAGCAGTTTAAATCCACCAGGGGCTCCTTGGAAACTCTATGGTGCAGTTCTACCCAGTCCTATAGGGTCGTTATGAGTTGGAATTGACTCGATGGCAACAGGTTTGGTTTTTGGGTTTTATGTTTTAAAATATTTTTATATGGCTTTTTACTTAGAAGAATAGTTACAAAGCCTTTGTTATGATTCAGAAGGAGCTCTTATTCTACAATTTCTTATTTCTCAACCCTGAATTATGATTCTTAAAAAAGTCAAATTAAGTCTAGCAACTAAAATCTCTGTGATTCCTTAACTTCCCACAACAACAAAATTATAACACCCTTTTTATATGTTCTGAAATAAATGTTGATTGTTCAAAGAATGGGAAGGGGAATTCAACTTTCCTACTTCGTTGTTTTTCAAATTACTTTATGGAGATAAGTCACTAGGCTATTAAAAATCTGATAGTATTTTCCAGTCCAATGAAGTCTCTAATTTTCAATAGAAATGACCTTTCGAAGTACCAAGTTAAAAGGAGTGTACTAAAAAAGTCTTTGCTGCTAAAATAGTGTCTCCAGTGTCTGTCATGTCCTAGATAGAATTTTCTTTTGAGAAAACTACAGCTACTTATTTTCTGTGGCCTCATTCAAACAAACTTAACATTATTGTAAGGAAGGATAAAGGGTATATGGGTGTTCAGAGGTACAAAATGACTTTTCATTTCTAGTGTTACATGGTGAAGATGAATGATCTACTTTCTTGAATTTCAAAAATAAGGACAGTTAAGGTTTAGATATTTCAAAGGGGAAGCATTGTGTTTTCTTTATTGGATTAATATGGGATCTATGTGATTTGATGCCTCTAAAATTATTTTTAAAACTGAAAATTTTCAAATACTCTCTAAATTTAACCAACATTATACGTTTTTGAAAACCTGAATGATCATCTTTTTGAAGAGAAACAGAAAATAAATAAAGCAGATCTAAAACTGTACTTCTGTATTTTTGCATATCCTTAGCATTCTGTTCTCCCAGAATAGTTTTTTGATATGTGATTTCTGTGGCAAAGATAGGCTTTGAAAGCACCCCAGTGTGGGAAAGGACCCTTACGATCTCAGAGGTCGTAACTCTTTCACTTCTTATGGTTTTTCTACCATTAGAGAAATAGTGTCACCGAAGCAAAATACTCCATTACAAGATTTTTGCCTCAATTGCGGTACTATATAAGCTGAAATATGGAGGTGTCTTGCAATGTTCTCTTGAAGTGAGTATTTACTCCCTGGAGATCATGGTTAACAAATAGGCAGAAGTTGATAACATAAAGAGTATTATTTGTAAAAAGTGTAAATTTTACTTGAAAATACTTTTTTTAAACTTCTGTGTCTTAGAAAATGTAGTGTATTTGGTTAATAAAGGAGATTTCCTGTTTTCTAATTATAAAAGAATGCTGTTAGTAGTAATTTATAAATATCTTTACCTTAAGTTTATACTTTATTAAATATATTAGCAAGCTAAAGCAGGAAGAAAAGAGTTCAGAGCTTTGGGTGGGTTTCTAAAGAAAGGCTCTAACTTCATATTGGTGTCCATATAGCAAAATAAGAAATTTATAGCATTCCCTAATCTTACTTAACTATTTTCAAGGCCATTGGGAAGAAAATGTGCTGTTATCTCTGAAGAAACACCAGAATTAAAGACATAACTACTGTTAAACATTTACATTTTAGGTCCCAAACAAAAATTTCAAAAAGGACACTCATTCTTATATTTAGTCATAAAACAGCAGTTCTTTAGCACTGTCTGAGGTCAGGTCCTCTAGAACCAGACATGGTAATTTTTGAGCAAGAAATTCACTGACAGAATGTTCTCAGGAGAAAATCCTAGGGAAGTGAAGAAAGTAAGGTAAGACAGAGAAAGAAGATCAGTAGAAATGTGGTCTCAGCTGAAGTCTAGCCTCAGCCTGATCCCATATAGAGCTATGGAGCATGAACTTTAACACAGAAGTTGCTCACCCAGAAGCAAGAGACCAGAGCTGTTATTCCCCTATCTGTCAGTTCTTGGGCAAAGGTCATGCCCATCCAGGAGGGAGGAATAATCGGCTAGGCATCTCCACACAGGGAGGCTCTTCTTAGCCCTGTCTAGTCCTCTGGAGAGAGCTGCAGCTGTGGGCCGTTTGCAGCCAACCTCTGCAGCATCCCTGGAGTGGGTGTACCAGTTGCCAGTTGCCACTGAGTCGACTCCGACTCATGGTGACCCCATGTGTGTCAGAGTAGGACTGTGCTCTATAGGATTTTCAATGGCTGATTTTTTGGAAGTAGATCACCAGGTCTTTCTTCCAGGGCACCTCCAGGTGGACTTCAACCTCCAACCTTTTGGTTAGCAGCCAAGTGTGTTAACCACCCAGGGACTCTATGCGGGTGGGTGCACCGCCTCTGAAAAGATCTGGGCAGGGCACCAGCAGCATCTGCTCCAAGCATGTGAAGGCTGTACCATATACCGTGAATCCTGCTTAGACTCGGCTTTCATTAAATTCAAGCAGGGGATCCGAGTGGTTTTTTGTTGGTTTCCTTTTTTTCCCTTTGCAGAGGTTAAGCATAGATGTTAGAGGCAGAAATACCATTGGAAATAGATTCATGTCTACTGTTAGGCATAATTTTCAGGAAGTGTAAAACTTTCCTGTAGCTCCATTTACTGCATACCACAACAAACAGTATTTAGGAAACTTTCCAGTTTAAATTTTATCACAGAGGATGATGTGTCTGTTGGTCGTATGGGAAAAAATACCTACAGTGTAAATAAGAGCCTGTAAGATTGCATTCTTACAGTAAATTGTTTTGCTTTAATTTTATTAATTTTCTCTTATGTTCAATTAAGTTGTATCTTAGGTCAAAATTTCTAAAAGTCTCCACAGAAAGCAAGGAAATAATCATAGATGTGCTCAAAAATGTACTTACACAATAGTCTCTGGAGATATGTTTAAAATAGTGAAACATTGCAAATATCCAATAGTAGGGGATTGGAAAAATAACCTACGGTAGAGTTATCTATGATGGAAAATTGTGAAGTCATTGAAAGTCATGTTATAGAAGAATATTTCATGACATGGAAAATACTTGTATTAAGTGAAAAAATAAGGTTAAAACAGAGAGTATGAATATTATTCCATTTTTTAAAAAATAATTATGTATAAAAAAGACTATATATACTTCTCATGTTCACAGTGGTTATCTCTGAGTGGCTTTGGTGTTTGAATTATTTCTTTAGGGGTTTCTTTTATCATTTTTATTTTTAAAATTTTCTATTTTAAGTGTGGGTCAATTTTATAATAAGAAGAAGATTATTTAATACATGATCTCAACTTTAATAGACTTATTTTTAGTTATGGTTAGCCAAGCAATTTTCAAGGTTTTTGTCTGTTTGTTTTTTTGCACACTGATAATTCTCAATTTTCTCATCTTTTTTTCACCCAGTTTTTCTTCTGAATGTTCTAATAAAATATAAAATAACAAATTTCTACTACTATTTTAATTGGGTATCATCTCAGTCATTGTTAAATTATAGTTCATTAAAAAAAAGTATTGCCAGTCTACATAGCATCTTTATATTTTTAGACTTCATCTCTAACGTTTCTAGACTCTTCCTTAATTATTCTTTGCATTGTGATATTTTATTTAATTACTTTGGGAATATATAATATATATATAATGTTAATTAAATGTTATAATATATAAGTATATAATGTAATAATAATAAACATTTTAAGCCCCGTAATATGGCCTAGGCATTGTGCTAAGGACTTTATGTAAACCACGAAGTCACAAAAGCATTTTGAAAATCCTGCCCCTTACAGCAAAAAAAAGTATGATATTAAATGACTTGAAGATTATCTTCTTTTTTAAGTGCCTTAATCACTTTTAATCAGGAAGAAATCATGTAGAAAATTTCATCTTAAAAAGCAAGATGTATATTATTTAATGTGTCACAAGATAAGATGCTGGCTCTGTCCACAGAATGCCAAAAAAGAATGAAATATGAAATAATCAATCATTTACATGTTTTTTGACATGATGCTGTTTTTCCAATGTACTATTTTTTTTTCCCTTGAGTTGTTATGTTACATAGGCAAAGCCAGCAAGTAGGTGTGGAAATCATGTATAATGTCACACATAAGATCAGAAGACTGTATCACCTCTTTCTTTATTTCTTCTTCATCTTCCAGGGTCAGAGCAGCCAGTTGCTTAGCTCTCTGCTCCATCAGATTCACATATCGGATTGGGTTTGACAAAGCTTCAATCACATCTAAATAGGAATGAGACATTTCATATTAAAGGTCCTGGAGGTAGTATTATCCACCATCCATCCATCTATCCATCCAACCTGCCATCCATCTACCCATCTATCCCTCAACCCACATCATCCATTCTCCATCTACCCATCTATCTATCCACTCATTCATCCAATCAACCAACAATTCATTATCCATCCATCCATCCATCCATCCATCCATCTATCCATCCATCCTTTCATCCACTCATCCATCAATCCACCCATCCATCCTCTATTCTCCTAACTAACGATCTACTCATCCATCCTATATACCTTCACCTACCCATACATATACTTATTCACCAACCATCCATTCATTCATCTACACAAAGTTAAGAACTAGATGGAAATCAGAGTCTAACTACCATCATTTTGCAAATGACAAAACTGTGGGGAAAAGATAAAGGCACTTAGGATTATACTGCTTTGGTGAAACCCTGATTACATGCCCAGAGACATTTCTACAATACTAGAGGTAGTATTAAACCATAAAAATATGGATGCCCCAGATGGAACTATCCCTTTAAATTAGGTTGTTTACCTGCAAATGTGTCTGGTACATAGTCTTTTACTTCTATGTAGACAAAAACAGCTGGCAGCATCAGAGGTTGGTTCCTTTCATTCCTCAGACTGATGTAGTGATAGCCTGGAGGGTGACATAATACTGTCTCACATATTTTCTTCACAATGTTAGTGACAACACATGAACATCTATGTGATACAAGTGTTTACTTTAGGTGACTGTGGGTGACAAACAGGTCACTTCTTTCTCATTTTAATTACATGGCTTTAAATAATAATGTATTCTTTTTCTCATCCAACAAGAAAACATTATTGATCCTCTTTCTCTTGCTCTTTTCTTTTTTTCCTTTCCAAACACATTTTTCCCCCACAAAAGAGAATTCTAAACCATTTGTCATAGATTTAATCATTGGTCCAAATTAGTCCTCTGTAATAGCATTATGCTTTCCATGACTTCCTAACTTTGGGATTACCCATATGTTCTGCTTTGGCCAATGGTAAGTCAGTAATGTAAGTTGAGGCTGAAAATGCACTTGCTCAGTTAGGCTTGCCCTTTTGCACGCCAGTGGTTCACCATGAGAATTCCACACTGTGGGTGCCAATTCCCAATAAGCCTGGGCACCAGAATGAAAACATGTGCCACAGACCTAAACCCAACTCACAGTGTGAAGCACAGTTACTCAGCTGAGACCAGCCTAGATCAGCCAAACCCTTGCAAACCCACAGACTTGTGAGCACAAAGATAGATACTTATCATTACAAGCCTTTGAGTTATTTTTTTTTTGGTGGTAAAATACATATAACATATACTTTGCCATATTAATCATCTGTGGGTGTACAATTCAGTGACATTAATTAAATTCACAATGTTGTGCAACTATCACCACTATCTATTTCCAAAACTTTTCCATCACCCCAAACAGAAACTCAGTACCCATTAAGCAACAACTTCCCATTCCCTCCTCACCCCAACCCATGTGTCATGGTTTGAATTACGACCCCAAAAAATGTGTGTATCAGTTTGGCTAAGGCCATGATTCCTGGTACTGTGTGATTTTCCTGTATGTTGTAAACCTGCTTCTATGATGTTAATGAGGGAGGATGGGTGGCAGTTGTGTTAGTAAGGCAGGACCTGATCTACAAGACTGGATTGTGTCCTGAGACAATCTCTTGAGATATAAAAGACAGAAGTGAGCAGTGAGACAGGGGGACCTCATACCATCAAGAAAGTAGTGCTGGGAGCAGAGTGCGTCCTTTGGACTGGGGTCCCTGCGCAGAGAAGCTCCTAGTCCAGGGGAACTCGGAAGAGAAGAAGGCCGACAGAGGGAAAAAGCCTTCCCCTGGAGCTGATGCCCTGAATTTGGACTTTTAGCCTACTTTGACTGTGAGGAAATAAACTTCTCTTCATTAAAATCATCCACTTGTGGTATTTCTGTTGTAGCAGCACTAGATGACTAAGACACAATGGTATCTACTCATCTACTTTGGTCTTAATGCGTTTGCCTATTCTAGATATTTCATATAAGTGGGATCATTCAATACTTATTCTTTTGTATCTGACTTATTTCACTTAGCATAATTTTTTCAAGGTTCATTCACATCACAGCATGTATCAAAACATCATTTCTCTTTATGGTATTTACATACGATATTCCATTGTATGTATACACCACATTTTATTTATCCATTCATCTTATTTATCCGTATTTTCCACATTGGCTGTACCATTTTATATTCCCACCAGTAAGGGATGAGGGCTCCAATTTCTCCACATTCTAAGACTTGTCATTTTCTTCTTTAAAAAAAATAATATCCATCCTACCTCGTATGAGAGCCATTGAGCTTTTAAATAGTCTGTTATTGAGAATTATTGTGGCAATAGGTGACTAACAGATTATAGCCCATCACAAAAACATGAAACTGCCAGAGATAAATAATTATAGCCCAGCTTATATAACACAATTAACAGTTTCAAATAGCCTCCTAATCGGTTCTTCAATAATCGTGTAAGGCAGTGATGCTTTTGTTTAAAATTTTAATAAAAAGCTCCTCACCACACTATCCATACCTGGTCGAATTGCTTGCACTGGCAAGATCCGGTGACCGATAAATTTACCTCCTTCTTCATAAACTGCTATCCTTAAACAGGCCAGAGAAGGAAGCACCACCTACAGGGATATTATGGACACAACAGGTTACGAGAACGAGCAACTCCAACAAAAGGATTACCAAAAACCAAAACAAATCCATTGCCATCAAGTCAGTTCTGACTCATAGCAGTCCTACAGGACAGAGTAGAACTGCCCCATAAGGTTTCCAAGGAGCAGTGGGTGGATTCGAACTGCCAACATTTTGGTTAGCAGCCATAGCTCTTAACCAAACAAGTATTACTCAAACAGGCACTCGTTTTTCAATCCAAGTCAAAATTTCTATGTAGCTAATTTGGATAGAAAGTTAAGCTGTTGCTCTTTAATTTAGATTTTCAAAAGGAGAAGACATAGAATGATATGGCTTCATTTATGATCTAGCGCATTTTCCTAATGAGGTATTTGTTCAGTACAGAGGACATTTTCTCGTCACATGGAAATTCCTGATGTGGAAATGACACGAGTTCTATGCTTAAGTACAAAGAATTAGTGGTCTTATCACGATGTGAGCACTTACTTTGACATTTTCAAAGCAAATGACTTTTATCCTTTCAAAGCAAAAGTAAAAAGAAAATACAGCTTTCAGGATAGCTTTCAAAATGCTACTGCTTTATAAATTTGTTAATTCCAAAATTAAGCAACAAAAACTACTCATCTCATTTTTTTTCTCATTGTAAAAGACTTGGAATGCACAGTTACATATCAGTCAGGAAGGGAGTAAAAGATCACACACCCAGACTTTCTTTCAAAATGCTTTTGATGACAATGGCAAACAAATATTTATTGCATATTGTCAGATGCCAGACATTTTTCTAAGTGTTTTGTAATGTATTAACTTATGGATTATTCATGCCAACCCTATGAAGTAGATTCTATGACTAAACCCAGTTAACATGTGAAAAAACCGGAGCACAGAGAGAAAAGCACAGTTCTCCAAAGTCTTCCAGGTGTTAAGTGATAGCTCTGGGATTTGAACCCAGGCAGCCTGGCTCCAGGGTCCATGCTTTTAACCACACTACAATATGTATGATGGCCACAGAAATCCCACAGACAATATGTTAGATAATGTTTTTGTTCTTCCTGTAGACACTTGAATCATCATCAGGATCAACTAGAGGTGTGCTCATATTGGTGAACCTTGATAAACATATACTCCACTCACTGGATTCCTTATCAGGGAGTAGAAGGGTGAGGAGGTATGTGGAAATATCACAGCCAATTGATAACTGTATCTGTTTGTTAGGAAATTGCATTGGGACCTCCCACACCTGCCTTTCATTGGGAGTGTTCATGTTAAATGCCGTTCTTCAAAACACCCATACAACTTACATCAATTAAGCTAATTGCCTTTATCATCAAACCAGAAAACCAAATCATTTGCTGTGGAGTTGGTTCTGACACATGTAGACCCCATAAGTGTCAGAGTAGAACTGTGCTCTATAGGGTTTTCAATGGCTGATTTTTCCGAAGTAGATTGCCCGGCCTTACTTCCGGGATGCCTTTGGGTTGAATTGTGTTCCTCAGAAATATATGCTGTAAATCCTAACCCCTATACCTGTGGGTGTAATAATAGTGGGGAATAGGGTTTTCTTTGCTATGTTAGTGAGGCCACTTCAGTGTAGGGTGTGTCTTAACCCAATCACTTTCGAGATATAAAAGAGTAGAAAAGGCACAGAAGCCAACCAGCACAAATGGGGGAAAGACAGATGCCACATGGAGATCTCCAAGAATGCTGAGAAGAATCTAGAGAAGCTGAGAGAAGGATTTTCCTCCACTGCCGACAGAGAGAGCCTTCCCCTAGGGCCAGTGCCCTGAATTTGGGCTTCTAGCCTTGTAAACTGTGAGAAAATGAATTTCTGTTCATTAAAGCCATCCACTTGTGATATTCTGCTACAGCAGCAGTAGATAACTAAGACAGATGGACTCAAACCGCCAACCTTTGCGTTAGCAGCCTAGCACTTTACCTTTTGTGCAACCCAGGGACTCCATGTTCATCACAGAGGAGGGAAACTGCCAAAGCTTATTTTAGCCTCGTTGAAATATTTGAAGAATCCTTCAGAAATGTGAGATCATCAAATTCTATTACAGAAAGGTATACTTTGAGGTGAAGAGGGGGCAGGGAAAGGAAACTAAAATGCTAGAGAAGATATCACAGACTTAGCAGAAGCAGAAAGATGCCTTCACAGAGATACTCCCTTTGCAGAAGACTGCTTTTGTAGATGTTTTGGCCAGATAAAAGCAAGACTATGGCAAGAAAGTCCACTCTATGTTCTACTGGACTTACTGTCTTCCTTTATGTGATAAGCATGTGTAAAGAAGGTTGGCTTTTTAGTGAAGGCAGAGAGAAGGACCTAACAGAGTGAGAAAAGTTTTAGCCAGGGCTTTACACTGGTTCATTCTTGTTTGAACCCCTGCTGAGAATTTGCATTTCTAACAAGTTCCCAGGAAGTTATACGTAAGAATCACCTGGGGATCTTGCTAAAATGTAGATTCTGATTCAGTATACCTGGGGTGGAAATGCAAATTCTCAGCAGGGAATTTTTTAGAAATGTAAGTTCTCAGCAGGGGTTCGAAACAGAATGAAGCAGTTCCAAGCCCTTGTTTTAACTCTATCAGACAGAATGTAGACAAAATGGAATGGCCAGCTGCTGCCAGGAACTAGAGATTCTAGGGAGTTTAATTAATATTCTCTCTAAAGAAAGTATAGACTTACTTTGTCTCAGCTACCATATTATTCTCTACTTTGCATTCTACTTCATTTGAGGTACAATGAAAATTTATCATTTAGCACTTGTATTATGCAAGGATGTAAGTTAAATTTATGTGTTAGTGAGGCATATTTGAATTAATTAATTGATTTACAATATAATCCTGAAGATTAAAACAAGTGATTAACAAAGACTTTGAATAGTTTCGAGGACAGCTTTCAAAATGCTATTGTTTTATGAAGGTGTAAATTCCCAAATTAAGCAACATGCAATTACTCACTTCATTTCTTTCTCAGTGTAGAACACCGGGAATGCAGAGTTACATATCATGTCAAGAACACCGGACTGACCTTTTTGAACACAATGGGTTCTTCTTCCCAGACAGGATTTACTGCATTTCCTTGTGATGTCTTGGTCTTGAAGGCCTTCCTCCTTGTGTCTACAGGCAAACCAAACATATCTACTTCCACGTAGGTCCCGACTTTCTTATCAGAAAGAAACTGACCTGAAATTATCTAGAAAATAATAAAAAAAGGTATTCTGATAAAAGAGTAACAAAGACATAAGACAATAATTTAAAGAGGGACAAAAACTGATTATGAATGCTGAACCATAAGCAAAACGAAACAGAAGCAAGTATAGAAATATGGTTTGTATTTCATTTAAAGAGTTGATAACAAAAAACCAAATTCACCGCTGTTGAGTCGATTCCAACTCATAGCGACCCCATAGGGTTTCCAAGGCTGTAAATCTTTATGAAAGCAGACTACCACATTTTTCTCTAGCGGAGCTGCTGGTGGTTTTGAACTGCCAACCTTTCAGTTAGCAGTCGACTGCTTTAACCACTGAGCCACCAGTGCTCTTTAAAGGGTTAAGAAAGAAACTAGTATTAAAAATGCTGAGGCAGGAAGGAGTTAATTAATAAGACAAAGTCGTGTAAACCTATTGCTGTTGAGTCGATTCCAACTCAGTGACCCTATAGGACAGGTAGAACTGCCCCATAGGGTTTCCAAGGAGCAGGAGGTGGATTTGAACTGCTTATCTTTTGGATAGCAGCCAAGTTCTTAACCCTGTACCACCAGGGCTCCAGAGTTGTATAGGAGGGAATCAATGAACCAAATATTGACTTTAAACCATCAAGTCCAGCTTATCATCACCCCTAACCCCACCTGATTAGTCATCCATACAATTGTGGGTATACTTTGCCTAGTTCTAAAACTATGGATATTGTTGAGTTAAAAAAAGACATGAAAAAATTGCATTTTCATAAAATGTCCCCCATGTCTGCCTAATTTTCTAAGCCAATTTGTGAAATCTGAGGGTTCAATCTGGGTGTCATAAGGTTACTGGAGACGGAGGGAAACAACAAGGTCTTCAGCTGCTCTATGCCACCGGGGGCAGCAGCAGGAAGCAAGTGCACATGGAGCAAACCTGGTGAGTTTGGATTGTCTGGCTGGAACAAAGCAGTGTGCTGGTCAAGAGCTTTCTGAGTTCAACTCTAAGAAAGGTGATAGAACTTCCAAGATTAGGATTTGGCCAGAAATTAGTCAAACCTTAGCACAATGGTAGCATGAGGATGGTCCTCAGAGGCTGAATGAAGTCAAAGTCAGCTACACGACGATGTAGTCAGACATTTAGAACAAATGTGAGAGAAAGCCGGAGGAAGAGGCTGGCTGAATTCACCCTGGGGCAGTTCATTTTCCCTGGATGTTCTTTTCAGCCTGAGTGCACGGCATCTGCTAGCAGCCACCTCTTTGTTTAACTTGAGGTTCTACACGAGTAGAAAGATTTAGCAGGCATTTTACAACATGTGTGAAGCCTCCAAGTTATGAAAGTCACACTAGGAATTCAGATGCACTGAAATTTTGTGTGCTTAACGTGTTTGATCAAAGCAGAAATTCTTAAATTAACAAGGTGAAACCTCAACGTTCTCATCAGTAAAATGGGGTGGCGGAACATGATATGAGCTCACAGCTTCACTCGACACTATGAAGTCAATTCTGGAAGATCAAAACAAAGGTACAACTGAAGGCATATGCGCTGCATCTGGGCTCTGGCTATAACGTTAAAGACAGGAATCAGCTGTAACCTGTCCTGTCCACGCAGAGGCCATTACAGATCTAGAAGAGCCTCCATCCTGGACTGATGCAGCCCTTTACACTTGTCTGGGGCCAACTGTGTCTCCTTCGCAGCTCAACTTACTTTCCTGCATCTATGCCATTGTTTTATAGTTGCTTACACTGTCACAGCAGAATTGTCAAGAAAAATAATCAATAAAAAAGCAAGCAAATGATCTGCAAATAAGGCAAAAACTATTATTAGTTTGGCCCAACTGCCACAACAATTGATGAAGGTTCTGAAAATAACATTTATCAGTATGTGATGCGTGGGAATTTATTTTAATCAAACTTGACAGAAATTAAACATCCTTTGTTGAAAACAATTTCCTAAAATAAATACAATCTTGAATATCTAGTTCTGTCAGCTTCATGCTTTTTTATATATGGCTAAAAATAATTTCTAAAGATACAATTGTGAGACTCTTCATTGAAAATTTATTTATTTTTAATCTTTGGTATAAAATGATACAAGTTTTAAGGTAAAAATGAGCTCAATGGCTAGGGTAGATAGAAATGAGGGAAACTATTACAGAGTATTTTTTTAATATAGTTTTTTAAAATGCCTTTGGTTTAAGATCAATCTAAAAATTGCATTTATGTTGAATAAAAAAGTTTCTTATACACTTAAACATAAAAGAAATGAAATCTATAAAAGCAAACAGAATTCTAGCTACAGCAAACAAGGGCTTATAGAATTCATTTAAAAGTCTCTTTATAAAAACTAATTTCCCACTTATAGTATTAAAAATATTTTCTGACAGTTTTTTTTTTTTTTTTAACTTGGCTGAAACATGAATGTAGAAGACTACAGAAAATCATTTGGAATTAATTATTTTAGGACTAGATTTATATTTAATAAAGCAACTCTGTTTTATTTAAAATCATTAATATGTGTTTTTTAAGTCCCTGAATACACTGGTAGATTTTCAAAAATCTTGCTATGGGAACTTGAGCGCTCTTACTCCATATTTAATAACTTATGGAAAGAATACTTTATTCTCTAATTTACTCAGTATAGATACTTCTCCAGAACTAAGAGAAGAAAAAAAAAAAAAAAAAAAATGCTGACCAGAAGATCTCTCCAATGTAAGTCACTAATTTTCATGGTAAACTTAACTGTGGGATATTTATACCAACAGAATTGGCCATGGTGAATTTTACCAACTCCTTTTATGGATTTAAGGTCCAATTTTTATCATTTTAAGAGTGGCACTCAGCCCGTTTATCTCATCCATGTGGTTTCTGAAAACTTCTACATGTTTTTTTTTTTTTAAATCGTGTTATCTTGGTAAAAATCTATATAACAAAACATTTGCCAATTCAACATTTTTTACATGTCCAGTTCAGTGACATTGGTTACGTTTATCATGTTGTGCAACCATCATCACTATCCATTTCCAAATTATTCCACCACCATTAACAGAACTCAGAGCCTCTTAAGCTAAAACTCCCCTTGTCCCCTTCTCTCCCACCTCTGATAACCACTGCTACTGCATTTTTATGCAAATAACACTCACCTTCTAAGTTTGTTTGCAAGTCGCTCCCTCCCCCGGGAGGTGTTTTCCGAAGCAGCTATACTAATTTTTTACAGCCCATAGGGAGCTTAGAAAAACACCTGGGGGTTGGGGGAAGTGGTTGGCAAACAAATGTAGGAGGCACATGTTATTTGTGTAAAAATATGGTAATAAACTTTGGTCTCTATACATTTGCTTATTTCATATAAGTGGGATTATACAATATTTGTCCTTCAGTGTCTCTCTTATTTCACTTAGCATAATGTTTTCAAGGTTCACCTGTGTTGTAGCATGTATCAGGACTTCATTTCTCTTTATGGCAGAGTAATATTCCATTGTATGTATGTACCACATTTTGTTTATCCATTCATCTCTCGATGGACACTTAGATTGTTTCCATTTTTTGGTTATTGTGAAAAGTGCTGCAGTGAATATTGATGTACAAGTTTCTGATCCTGTCCCTGCTTTCAATTCTTTTGGGTATATATCTAGCATTGGCATTGCTGGGTCATATGATAGTTCTATGTTTAACTTTTTGAGAGTCTAATGTGGATTTAATCGTCAAAGAGAATAATGTATGAAAGAAGTAGAGCCTTTGATAGCTACTAAGTTTTTAATGACTGAACTACTTTCTCATACAAAATAGATGAGTTCAAGACTTTCCTTGGGGACGACTTTGTAATAGAGACGTACATACCTTAACAGATAAAGTGTTGGCCACTATCCCGTCTACGATGCCTTCAGTAAATGGATCAAAATGCTTGTCAGGTCTCCTCATGAACTCTGGCTTTAATCGGTAGCCACTCTTCCCATTGTATTCATATATCCCCATATTTATTTGCATAGCCAAGTCTGAATAACAAAAAGACAAACCTTTAGTATGAACGTATTTATATTTCAAGCAAGAAAATAAGTGTTATTATTAATTCCTCGTATTAGAATCCACTTTGTGACTGCTCCTCTTTACAAAAGTAATATTTATTCATTGCAGAAACTTAGAAAACACAAGGAAAAAAAAATCAGCGGTACTCCCCAAATTTAGAGATAACCATGTCAGTAGGTTGGTGTATATTCTATTTCTTCACTTAAAATATATTTTAAATATAGAATATATCCATTTAATTAAATATTTTTCTGCCTTAATTTTAACAGCTATATAAAATTCCTTTGAATAGTTTTATTTGAGTAAGCATATTTAACCAGCCCTTTTCTTTGGATGCTTGTGTTTCTTCTAATTTTTCACTATCACATATAATGTTTTGATGAATATCCTTGAGAAATCTTTGTATACATGATCAATTATTTTCTTAGGAGTGGAATTTCTGGGTCAAAAGATGTGCACATTGGAGAAGGATTTTGATAAACCTTACTAAATGAACTTTCAGAAAGCTTAAACCAATGGACATTTCCCTAATCCCTGTATTTGAGGACAGACTCTTCCACATTTTATCAACAATGAATGCTATACTTCTTCTTCTTTTTTAAAATTTATCCTAAGGGGCAATCTTTTTCTTTTTTAAATGTGCATTTCTTTGATTTCTATTTAGCACAACCAATTTCTAGTTACACACTGACTCTTTTCCAGTGGACAATGGTTGCTGCTCAAAGTTTTTCTAGGACTCGTTCCTTGTTCCAAATGAACGTTGACAATAGTTGCAATGTTAGGGTTAAAAAATACGTTTTAAAGTCATAAGGTATTTGGGAAGCTGTCAATCACTCCAGATTATCTGTGCCACACTCATATGCATAATAACTAGATGATTATAGAATTATTTCAGAATGCCATGAAACAAATCATTTTTAGAATTCTGTAAAGAACTGATATTTTCTTGCTCATGAAGTTCGTATAACTATAACACCAAGACTGGACCAAGAGCAAAAATGGAAAGTGATAAATCTATCACACACACACACACATATACACACACACACAAAATGCCTCCAAAAGTCTAAAAAAATCACATTAACGAATCTAATCATATGTTCTAAAAAATAATACACAACGAGCAAGCAGATTTATTCCAGGAACAAAAGGAGAATTGTATATCGGGAGCTATTAATATAATTGATCACATTTATGTACAAAAGAAGAAATGAACATACCATTTCATATCATATGATCATCCCAATAGCTATCAAAGAGACATTTAATAATAGTCAACATAAATTCCTAAAACACTGTTGGTCAACTATTGTTGCTGTTGTTAGGTGCTTTCGAGTCAGTTCCGACTCATAGCAACCATATGTACAACAGAACAAAACACTGCCCGGTCCTGCACCATCCTCACCATCATTGCTATGTTTGAGCCTATTGTTGCGGCCACTGTGTCAATTCATCTTGTTGAGGGTCTTCCTCTTTTTCACTGATCCTCTACTTTACCAAGCATGATGTCCTTCTCCATGGACTCGTCCCTCCTGATACTTAGTATGTTAGAGAATATCTGTCCCAAAGTCACAGCCAATATCCTACTTAATCGTATCACAACAAGATGAAAAGAATGTCCACTTTTGATACTTCTATTTAATATGATTCTAGAATGGTCAATCCAAAGCAATAAGACAAGGGTGGAAATTAGATGCATTTAAATTACTGTGACTGTGTATCTGAAAACACTGACAGAATGTACTGGCAAAGGATACTATTGATAAGAGCTTAGGAAGATGGCTGTTGATAAAATACATTTATTTATAAAATGAATTTATACATAGCAATATCCAGAACCAATCTGCTAAGAATGTAGTGGGTGAAATAAAAAAAAGATTTTATCTACAGAAACTAGACCTCTAATAAGGACCACTGATTTTGCTGAGGGACTTAATATAAAAAATTTTAAAGTAAAAAGAGAAACATTGTCTCTGTGATAGGAAAACTAAAAATTATAAAGATGTTAGTTTTCTTCAGATAAATTTATAAATCTATTGCAATTTTAATCAAAATATTTTTTAAATGGGAAAAAGAGAATCATGATTAAATGAAATTAAGTTGGAACAAGAATTCCACTTACAATGACAAGAAAAAACTAAAAATTAATAGCACTGAAGGAGAATTTGTACTTCCAGGTATTAAACCATATTATTAAAATACTATAATGAAAAGATTGAATTACCATATTTTTATGCAAATAATGTGCATCTTCTACGTTTGTTTGCCAATCGAGCCCTCCCCACCCTGAGGTATTTTCATAAGTGTGCTATGATAATTTTTTTACACAGCAACATGTAAAAAAAAAGTTGGCATTGTGGTGCTTATGAAAATACCTTGTGGGGGAGGGTGAGTTTGGTAAACAAGTATAGAAGGTGTGCGTTATTTGTGTAAAAATATGGTACTGGCTCCAAGAAAGCATACCAATTTATTAATGGAAAAAAATATAAAGTGAAAAAATAGACTCAAATTAACAACAATAAAAAAGACAACATCTATAAAACTGTAGTTCCACTTCAGTAGAATAATTCTTTAGGGAAAAATAGGATTGATCTCTTACTGAGATCATATATCCAAATCAAATTTGGATGGATTAAAAGTTTAAATGAAAACATAAAAGAAATTCATGTAAATACAGATGATTGTGGGATGGAGAGACTGTAATTGTAAAAGTTAACCAAGACTACATAAAATACAACATTAATAGATCTGATCTCATAAAATAATTTTTTTCTGTTTAATAAAACAAGCAATATATTCTTTTTATAAAAAGTGCTATCATAAATGAAGAGGAAAATTGACTAGTGTTCACTTGCTTGAACAGGCAACCCACAAAAGTAGAACTATAAAACCCAAAACATATTTAAAATGTTCAACCTCATCAATTATCAAAGAAATTAAATTAAAACAACAGTGAGAAAATATATTTTGCTTGAAATTTTATTATTATTTTTTAATGGTAATACTTGAACAAGATTCCAAACGAAAGGGGCCAGCTCTCATTGCTGGTGAGGATGAATGTAGTGCAACATTTTTGGTGGACAATTTGTTAATATGCACCAAAAATGCTTAAAACTTTCACATCCTTAAGTACAATAATTCTTTTTAGGAACAAATATTAGGAGATAGACTTGACAATTCATATTCAAGACTGTTCAGTTAGAGTATTATTTACAGTAGAAAAAAACAAAAAACAAAATTCAATGTCCAGTTAAAGGAAATCAATCATTAAACATGCTTAATTTACAGCTATTAAAATTCACATATAGCATTTAAGGATATACTTTTTACATATTTTTTTAAACAAGGAATTAAGTGAAAAAGCACACTTACGCATGAACAAATATAATTACGACTACAGAGCCAAAAGTTAACAGTGTTGAATTTCTGGGTGGCGGCATTTCTGGCAATTTCATCCTTTTTATACTTTTCTGAATTTTTCAAATTTTTACAATTAAAAACTATTACTTTTAAAAGCATAAAAAAGCATTTGTTTGAAAAATGCAAACCTCGATAGAAATAAAATAATAAATTATTGAAGACATTTGCTCATTTTTCAAAGTTCACTTGATTTATTTTTACAGCACTGATATTTATTTAGGTGAACTTTGTATTTTTCAAAATCAAGTCTAGCAATTTTTTTCCTCCTCCGATTACTTGAGGATGGTGCCTGGACGCTTGGAAATGTGGCTTTATAATCAAGCATGATTGGGCTACTTACCCACTGTTTGGAAGTTAAGTGCAACCATTTGACAGCCGGCATTCCAGAAAAGCTGAGGCATATAGTTGGATGAATCCACACGTGTTCCTTTTGGATATATTCTGCTAAGCTGCATTTTGTTATATCTGGACCATCATGTTAAGTAGTGAATACAGTTATCAAAATAGTCAATAACATTAACTGAGAAGCCACCTTCCATCTTTCTCCACTGGGGAAATGAACCAAATATTGACAATCTCATAGAGCTAGTGAGTAAAATACGGGGGAAAAAAAACAAAAAAACCTTTATGAACAAACAAAATAAATGTGATTTTAAGATATAAACATAGTATTATCTTTGCAGGGCCTTGTGGGTAAAAACTAATGAAGTGGTAAAAATGGTTGAGTCAAAGTCTTAATTGACAGGCTTAACAATTAAGGACACATGAGGAAGCTCGAAAGTGTCCAGTCATGGAGAGACTGATACTGTGTTTGGCAGTAACAGATAATATGAACTATATAGCTTAAAAAAATTTTTTTTTTGGGGGGGGGTGGGGAAATATACACAACAAAACACATACCCATTCAACAACATTTACACGTATAGTTCATGGACAATGGTTACATACTTGATGTTGTGTTACCATTCTCAATATCTTTGCCCATATTTTTTCACCACCATTAACTTAGACTCTCTGCTTCTTAACATTCTCATCTATGCTTTAGAGTTATTGCTGTCATTTTGATCTTATATAGATACCTCTTTAAAAGGGTGCAATGCTCAAGGCAGACATTCTTTACTGAGCTGAACTATTGTTTAGTTTAAAAATCACTACCTTCCGTGCCATGAGACCAGAAGAAATGGGTGATGTCCAGCCACCATTACTGAATGTTTTGATCAGGGACTCAGTGCATGGATCTTGATCAAAAGGAGAAAAACTGTGGAATGTAACTTCAAATTCTTCTTGGAAATCAGACTTACTGGACATATTTAGACTGGAGGAACCCGTGGATCTATTGAGTGGGAGCAACTTTAAATCTTCAACCAAAACTATCCCATGAAGTCATTTATATAGCTATTTTTTAAATATTCTCTTCTCATGTTCTTAACCTTCTCTGGGAATGCCATTTGCTAAGACTGGGGTACCCTTTATAATTGATAACAAGGTAAGTATAGCACAGAGGTTTTGCCCTTGTTTCATATTTTGGTTCCTACCATCATTAGTTCTCCATCCGAAGAACTTGGGATGTCTTTAAAGTGCAATTGACTAGTTCTTATTATCAAGTACTGTTAGGTAGAGACTAGCTTAAGATTCTGAACTTGGGCTGGGGTGTTGGGCGAAAGGGAGTTTGAAAATTGACTCTGAAACTTGCTAGCTGTGTGGTCTTGGGCAAGTTATTTCATCTTTCTTTGCCTCAGTTTCCTCATCTAAAATCTAGGTTTAACAATTACTACATCATAGGGCTATTGTGAAGGTTAAATAAGATATACAATGAAAATGATTATATGAATAAGAATGATAACGATTTTTATAGAGTGATTTTGTTTATGGACTCTACATTTATCCCCTCTCCTACTGTTGATGGATTTTAAAAGTGACTTTTTAAACTTTATTTCAGGACTTGCTTCATGAAATTGAGCTCTTTGGGGCATTAGTATTAATTGTATGAAAAGAAATTTAAAGGCCTGTTTCTTCTTATTTTGGTTCATGGATAATAATAAAAAAAGTTTTGTTGTCAGTAGTATCAACAAAGCCATTATTAGGAATATATGTTTATATTGTCATCATCATCATTATAACTATTTTTTTGACCAGACATTTATTACTTGTGAGGCCCCACGTTAGCCTTTATAAACACACACACACACACACACACTTTACATATATCTATTATGTATGTATAAGCAGCACTCGTGGCTCAGTGGTTAAGTGCTTGGCTGCTAACCGAAAGGTCAGTGGTTCAAACCCACCATATGCTCTGCAGAGAAAGATGTGGCAGTCTGCTTCCATAAAGATTTATAGCCTTGGAAACCCTATGGAGGAGTTCTACTGGGTCCTACAGGGTCTCTATGAGTTGGAATCAACTCGACAGCAATGGAATTACGTATGTATAAAGCACACACACACACACACTCTACATATATTATACCTCACCCACACAGCAAGCCATAAAGCTGGTATTATTACTACCCTATTACAGATCAGGAAACTCAGATAGATTAAGTAAATTGACAAAAGACACAGAGCTTGATGGTGTGGAAGGGTGGACGTGATCTTAAAATCTGGACTTGCTTTACTCCAAGGCCCATTCTCTCTTCCACTTGCCAGCCTATCCCATTCAGCATTGCACACAATTACTTATCAGAAGCTATTTATCATGCCCAGGTTTTAGACTTCAGTCATTTTGTGCACTTATCTCCTTATTAGAAAAAAATTAATAGCACACGACTTCAGTTGTGTTAATTCAGTAGACGTTCGTCAAATCAAGGATACTCTACAAATTCCACTGGAGACTTCGTAAGCTGCTCGAGTCCTTTGGTTTCCACGAAGGAAGACATTTCAAAACTTCTGTTTCTTTCTGAGTTAACAAAAATTAAAAAAGACAAGAAATAAAACTGAGCTATAAGTTATAACATTATAAAGGAAGTAGACAAATGTGCAATGAAATTGAAGGCAATTAATTTCCAGCGTAACTTTATATTCCATTTGTTTGTTTGTTTTTTACTTAGTGCATTATTTACCTGGAAGAAAACTTGGGTTTTACTAGATGTCATTTTTAATATTTACTACTTGGGTCACAGTCAGTTATGGTTGTGCAAGTTAGGAAAATGGTGGCACTAAGATGGGTGTTGAGTTGAGTGCTATGGCTGCTTACCAAAAGATCAACAGTTTGAATGCACCAGGTGCTCCTTGGAAACTCTATGGGGCAGTTCTACCCTGTTCTATAAGGTTGCTATGAGTCGGAATCAACTTGACGGCAACAGGTTTGTTTTTTCCAGGTGTAGAGTGGCAAAGGGACCTCTGGGTGACGCAAATGGTTTGCACTCAACTATTAGCCTAAAAGTTGGTGGTTTGAACCCATCCAGTAGTGTCACATAAGAAAGGCCTGGGGATGTGCTTTCATAAAAATTACAGCCAAGGAAACACTATGGAGCAGTTCTACTCTCTGACATGGGGCCGCCATGAGTCAGAATTGACTCGATGGCAACAAGTTTGGTTTGGTTTTGGAAGTGTGGCAATGAAGGCTATTTTATCAAAAGAGCAGGGACCCTGTAGAGGCTTTTGTTCTAAGTCTATCCAGATTGAATTCTCGGGGCCACTTCTGGAGGTTAATGAAGGAGACGATGGAAATGTTTGTACTAGATGCTGACGATCTCTTTCATACCCACACTGTCACCTTCTCATTTTGCATACATCCTAGTGTTTCAAACCTCTAATGTGACATTAGAATTATGGCATTTCCAAGCAGAAGGGCCCTTGGAAAATTTTCCAGTGTGATGGTCTCATTTTCCAGATTAGATAACAGAGACCATTGAGGTAAAGGAGCTGAGGTCTCAATATTTTTGAACACAAGGAAAACATTTCTAAAGTGAAATCCAAGCTCCAATTTGAATGAGAGAAACAAAACAAAATTTTTTTAGTCTAGAAGGACTTAAAGTCAAACTCTTCCACCCTTTTCCCACATAAAAATTAAATTGTTAGATAAAGTTTTTATATAAGTACCAGACAGAATAATCAGACTGTAAAAAAAAACCTGTTGCTGTCCAAACAATTCTGACTAATAGCAACCCTACAGGACAGAGAAGAAATGCCCTGGAGGGTTTCCAAGGAGTGGCTGGTGGATTCCAACTGCCGACCTTTTGGTTAGCAGCCGAACGCTGAACCACTGGAATACTCAGACAGGCCTCCGTATTTTAAACTGAGTTACCTTTCAGACATTTTTCCCTCTTTGACGACCATCTTCCATAATCAGAGGAGCCCTGGTGGAACAGTGGTTCAGCGCTCGGCTGCTAACTAAAAGGTTGGCAGTTCAAACCCACCAGCCACTCCGAGGGAGAAAGATGTGGCAATCTGCTTCCATGAAGATTACAGCCTTGGAAACCATATGGGGCACTTCTACTCTGTCCTATAGGGTCGCTATGAGTTGGAATCCACTCAACAGCAATGGGTTTGGTTTCCATAATCAAAATCTCATTCTCCTTGATTGTCCCCAGACTCCATCTTTAACCATCTATTCACCTTCCTCAATTTAATCAATTCTAAGGTAAACTCTTCTCTTGTTTTTGTAAATCTACTTTCATATGACTAATTATTTGAAGCATGACTACTAATTAAAATTAAGCCAGCATGAATAGATACTTTGTAAAATATGGGCGGTATCCCTTTAAAAAGTAATAAAATTATATATGACATAACAGTTAATATCCAATATATTAAAATGCAAGTAATATATATCTTACCAGTCATATTTGAACACATTGATTCCATACTAACAGCATGTTTTCCCTTGGTAATTTCAAAGTTTAATTGGAAAAATCTTAGATAAAAAATCTTGTTATGATTTAAGGATAAAACCAAAAAAACCAAACCCATTGTCGTCAAGTTGATTCTGACTCACAGAGACCCTACAGGACAGAGTAGAACTGCCCATAGGGTTTCCAAGACTGTAATCTTTACGAAAGCAGACTGCCACATCTTTCTCCTGCGTGATTTAAGAATAAGGGTCTTAATTTTTTTAAATGCTTAACTATTGTTAAGTATCTATACTGCTATATGCTCACTGCTGAGATTATAATAGTTATATGTTTGTTCTCTGAATTCTTTTTTATTGTCAATTAGCTTCTATACAACATAAACTATAAATATTCTCAGAAAAGAAAAAAAGACATAAAATACGAGGAGAAAAACACTTGTTTTTAAGTTTGCCAGTTGTTACCAAACACTGGGTAGGTGCTGAAGGAATTAAACACATCAGCTTCTTTTCATGCTTTAGCCACTTGCCTAAAAAACAAAAACGTGTTGCTGTCAATTGGATTCCGACTCATAGCGACCCTACAAGACAAAGTAGAACTGTCCCATAGGGTTTCCAAGGAGCAGCTGGTGGATTCAAACCATCAACCATTCGGTTAGCAGCCGAGCTCTTAACCACTGTGCCACCAGGGCCCTTGTCTAGGACTTTTTAATTCATGAATTAGGAAAATTCATTTTATAACCCATGAAAGTTACAGTAATATAAAAATGACTATTTTAGGATTGTTCAAATTGAACAACTTGTAGTAAGAAGCATCAGTAATTAAAATACAAAAAAAATAGTTGAAATCTTGATATGTAAACTGGTTTGGAAGTAAAATTCTTTGCTGTACAGCTCTAGATGCCACATGCCACTAGGTTAATACTCTTGGCAAAATTATACATATACAAATAAGTGTGGCATGTAGAGAATTGGATTCTGAGATACTTACAAAATCATCAATTTCAAGAGGCTCCTGTGTTTAAGCAGAAATTCTGTGTTGAAGAGCACATTCTTATAAGCAGCTAAAACACCCCAAGGATGCTCTTAATCTGAGCGTGTCTTACCTTTCATGCAAATATAAAAGGCACTTTCTCTTTTCTCTAGCTAGAGGAAAGATGATATTTTTAATTGCATCCAATATGAATGTCTAGTTGGATGGAGGGAAAACAAAGTGATGTGAAGTGAATTATATATTTTCTTAAATATATGAAACATGGGCTGGGCAAATGAATATGGGCAAATCACTGGATTTGGTTCTATTTATAGTTATCAGGGCGGACCAAGTCTCTCTGGCTGCTTTCCTTCTGGGGGATGCGTAGACAGTTTATTTTAACACCGTCGCTTAAGGAAGTGATGGATGGATCCCACTGTCTTGTTAAGATTAAATCCAAACAAAAACAAATGTAAAACTCTCAATTAGCTGTACACTGGTCTAATATCTGGAGCCCTAGTGGTGCAGTAGTTAACAGCTCAGCTGCTAACCAAAAAATATCGGGAGTTCAAATCCACCAGCCACTCCTTGGAAACTCTATGGGGCAGGTCTACTCTGTCTTACAGGGTCACTATGAGTCGGAATTGACTCCACGGCAACAGGTTTGGTTTGGTTTCTGCTTGGTCTAATTTATTCCAGATAATCACATATGGTCTGTAGCCCTATTAAGCATTTTGGAGGCACTTGATGGAATACTTTCTCATGTTTTTTTAACGTATATATTTTAAGATGATGAGACAATCATTTTGTGCATATATTCAAGACTTTATCATCACAGAACAGTTCTATGAAGGGCAACATGCTTTGGTCGAATTTGTGTTTAAAATATACTCATTACATGGTACATTCAAGGTTTTTCTCCAGCGAAAACTTACTTTTTGAAATTTCAAATGACTCAAACTTGACTGGCTGGATGTAGTTTACCAGGTTAGACATCTCTTCTGTGGCCATGGCCTCACTCCCAGCAGTCCCCTGGAGCAGAAATAAAAATAACATTTCCAGTGTCAGCATCGTATTATGGAGGGTTATTTTCCCAGGACAATGATCACTTGGCCTGCGTTAGCAGAAAATTGTCCCGCCTCTTCCAAAAAATAATTATTCCCAATAGGAAATTCTTTACAAGAGATGGAAAAGGCAGCATCTCACTTTAAAAAGCGAGGGGTCGGAAGCAGGAGGTTTATGTTAAGCTACCAGCAAGGTGCCCTTCCTCTAGCAGCACCATCTGGGAGCTTGTTAGAAATGCAGACTCGGAGGCCCCTTCCCAGGCCTCCCAAGCTAGAATCCACATTTCAACAAGGTGACCCAAATGCACATGAACGTTCGCGAAGCATTGAGCTATAGCTCATCTTCCACAGAAGAGAGCCCTTAAGAGATATCTATGGTTAATAAATCAACAACTCGCTGTATAATAAGAAAATTAGTATGTAGGTGCCCACCAGATGAACTGAAAACTGCTATATATATACATAAAAAAGGGTTGCCTTGTTGAAGTGAGTAGGGGTGTGCAAACGAATGTTGCTTTTCTTTGTAAGCTTTCCTCTCTCCTTTCTTGCTTCCTTTGCACATCGTAGACAGCACACTATAGTGCAGGGGTTAATCACTCTCGGGTTCTAGAGCCAGATTGCCTGGTTTTGAATTCCAAGCCCACCGCTTAGATGGTGGGCAACCTTGGGCAAGTTATTAAACTGCTCTGTGCCTCAGTTTACCTATCTGTAAAATCAGGATAATACCAGTCTCCATAGCATATAGAGCTGTTGAGATTAATAAATGAGTTTATTTATGTGAAAGGCAGCCATGCCTGGCACATAGTGAACCCTCATGTTATTTTAGCCATTATTAGTTACTACATATTACTTTGATACAGCTTTAAAAAAAAAAAAAAAGGAAAACCAATACTGCAGACTGACTCCTGTAGACTGATCTAATATTTTCTCCTTTTTATAAAAAGAGAGAATACATGGATACAAGCTCTCTTATGAAAACACCTGTGGCAATATTTATGTTAAACGTCAGTTGGGAAATATTCTGTTGCAAATGGACCATCCAAGAAATAAGACAGTTTTTAAATTATCAAGAGGCACTGATCAAAAATTAAACACAATTGAAATAACTGTCAGGGAGAACTACTTACCAAACATTGTAACAGTTTTCCTTTTGCACATTAACTAGAAAATTAGTGCGGAACATACTGGATAAAAAAATGTAGACTACATTTAAGGAAATAAGTCTAAGTGGAAGGACGTTAAGTAAGAGAAGCTTATCATTTGTTGTTTATTTTTATTAATTTAATGTTGTAAAGACACAGATTCTGAGATTGAGAATTTCCAGGATATTTGGAAGCAGATTCAGTATAAACCTCCTAACACCAACTTAACATTCCAACTGACCTGCCACTGATCACTTCTCGGCTTTGTGGAAATAATATTTTGGAGCTGATAAAATTACTTGAGAGGCTTAAGTTTATATTAATAAGTAGTTCAATGGTTCCCAAATTACAACAATGGAATTAACATCAAATTTTTGAACAAGTCTTCAAATCCCACATCTTCTCCGGACTTCGTAACTGTTTGACATTTCATTTCATTGCCTCAAAAGTGAAGCTGGTAGTTTAATATCACTCATTTTTAATTCACCCTCTAGATACCTCACCTGATGGAAGACAATCTCAGCAACTCTGCACATGATAAAGGACTTTGCTCAATATCCTGCCGATTCCTTCAAAGACCTAAGTTTGCACCTTTAGTTTGAAAAGGAGTGGTCAGAAAGTTTTAAAGTGAACTGTGACGCTTTTCGCCACTAGATGGCAGAAGCGACTAGGAAATAGATCCAGGTGGCAGGGTCCAGACTGGCCAGTTGGTGGAACGCCTCTCTGAGGAGTCAAGGGGAAGATACCCACCTCATCCATGGAAGACTTTTTACAGTCATCATCATCATCATCATCATCACTTTCTGTATCAGCTTCCCCTGTCAAATGTAATAACAGATCATCAAGAAAAAAATGCATACAGATTTAAAGCACATGTAACCAGGGCTTTGAACCAGTTCGTTCTGGTTTGAATCCCTGCTGAGAATTTGCATTTCCACCCCATATATACTGAATCAGAATCCATATTTTAACAATATCCCCAGGTGATTCTTATGTATAACAAATGTTGAAAACCACTGCTCTACTAGTGGTCCTCAGAATTGGTCCTTAACCAGCAGCATTAGCTTTGCCTGGGAACTTGTCAGAAAGGCAAATTCTCAGCAATGGTTCCAACTGGCCCAAACTGATTGGAAGCCCTGCGTTCAACATACATTACCAAAATTGATTAGAGTGTTCCTTGAAGACTGGGCTTTTGTTGATTGTTTCAAAATTATTCTTTCAGGGATTTCTATGTTATTAGTTGCAGAGACTTATACTGACATTGTGAATGTTGATTATTTTTCTAAATTTGATTTGTGAATACCATTTAAAATGTCCAAATTCTATAAATGCTCATCCTAATTTCTCTCTATATGCTTTTTAAAACATGCAACATTGTATGTAGTTAGCTTTCTATGGTATGTGTATCCTATTTTAGTGTATACACTCTCTTTTAGGACCTCTCTAATCCTAAAATAGATAAATTATCCCTTTCTCATCTTCTCCTCCTCTCCCCAGCTCTGACTCCTGTGTGGATGGCCAGTACTCAGCCTGGAGCCTTGCATCCACCTCCAAGGCCACAGTAGACCTCACAGAAGCCAAGGAAGATGGTATGAGCAGGGGCACAAAAATTAGGGTCTAGTAACACTCTCGATTACACAAAGAATGCTAGGTGCCAACCATATGTTATGATTTACCTGCCAACTTATTTCATTGATGCACTGTCTTCTAAACAATTCACATATCTTAGAAAATAGTGAAAGTCTGTTTCGAAGGAAGAATACAATGGATGAACCCTAAAAGTCATTATGTTTCAAAATCTAACTCTGTCAGACACTCTTCAGCTTTATATTTAGCCAACGTATAGTCCTGTCAGTGGATTGTTTTTTTCCCCTAAGATTTAGTGGATGTTTCTGCTAGGCTAAATATCCACACCAGTATGAAGCATTATGTTATTCCACAGCTTTTGGATTCATCCAGACCCAGGAATATCAGTATGTAAAAAGATTTTTAAATACAAAGTAAAGAAGACACAATTCTAAATAGTTTGAAGACTACTTACAGCTTTCAGGGTTCACAGACTGCATTAGCACTATTAGCCCAGTAGATGGCAATATTGGCTCAATGATGAGGCTATTCGCGTTGGTGATGTCCCCCCACCTCAATAGTCTTCTGTTTTATCTATACACTTTATCTATATATAAGAATCTATATGTAAATAACACTATATTCACACCACTGTTCTCCAAGGAACTTACGAATGTTTTCATTTGGTTGATGAAGTTCAATCACTGAATGACAGCAGTGAACAAAGTATTCATGAAATATCTTTAGAGAGAAAAAATTTCTGAACCAATAAGCTTAATTATTTAAGAAAGCCATATACTACCACTTTATGATGTTGATATTATGTTAGCACCAATTATATTTTGGATGGAAACCATATTTTTATTACATAAGAAATATATCCTTTTAGGAGGCTTATGGCCACTTCAAATTATTTTATAATCACATTTGTTGCTCCAAATTCTTTGTTACTGTTTTTAATCAGCGAGGGGATTCTTTTAATCAAGTAATTAAAAAAAAAGTTGTTTGGCAGAATATTATGCAAAACACTTCATGGAACACAATCATATACCAGTCATTTCAAATATGCAATCAGATCATTGTTTGATTTATGTGGTAAAGAAAGAATTTATCTCTCATAACTCGCATAGCAGGGAATGGTATCCCTTCTAAGTCTTAGGGGAAATCTAGAGGAATCTTGGTGAACCATAGGAAAATCTATTCCACCCTAGTTCTTTAATTAAAACCTGTTGCCATTGAGTCAATTCCGACTCACAGCAACCCTATAAGACATAGTAGAACTGCCCCATAGGGTTTCCAAGGCTGTCATCTTTATGGAGGCAGACTGCCACCTCTTTCTCCCATAGAGTGAACTGCTGACCTTTCAGTTGGCAGCCGAGCACTTTAACTACTGCACCACCAGGACCCTAGTTCTTTAAGACAAGTGTACTTACAAAGAACTGAATCCTGGAAAAGGCATCTGGCCAACACGGGGGATGATAAGCAAATTAGTTTTGAAATAAGATTCATTTGATATGTTTCAAGTTCCTTGAGTTCCCAAGAACATGCAATATCTACCATCCAAATGGTAACTTAGCAGTGTTCTTTATTCAGGAGCCTACCTACATATTAAAATGTCCAAAAATTTCCACTGAAATAAATAATGATTGCACAACAGGCTTTGGGGCTAGCTTACGAAATCTACCAAATTACTAACAGATTGCTGCTTTTTTCTGTATTAAGCAATAATGTCCACTGCCTGTAAAAATCGTTATTTATGTTACCCATCCAGTTAATAAGAGGGAAAGAGCTCGTAGTGGGAAAGGCAGATGGTAAAAACAAGCACCCACATACAAAGGAAGATATGATTTGCTTGTCAGCATTCAAGGGATAGAATTTTGTGAGGAAATAGGTGGCCTGTTAATGATAGGCCTGTTCATGATATTTATTTCAAAACTTCAAAAAGAACATTCTTACTGAGGAAAAAAAAAAATTTTGAACAGAAATCATCAGAATTCTGCAATAATGTTTGAAATGCACTTTCAAAAGCCACAAAGAAAAAAAAAAAAGAAAAAAAACTCCTTTCAACAAATTATGTAAGGATTTTAATTTAAACAGTAAAAGGGAAAACTGGCAACGGAGACCAAAAAAAAAAAAAAAGAAGAAGAAAAGCTAAATCAGTGTCCTAGTCAACTTCTTTCTGATTGCCCTAGAGTTTACAATTCAATTTTATTACTGTTTTAAAACATTTTAATTGATATGAGATAGGCAGACAGAAGAGTCCACATATCGTAAGCGGACACTGTGGCAAATTTTCCACCAACTGAACATACCTGAGTAATCAGTACCCAGATCAAGAAACGAAACAGAACCAGCCCCCAGAAGCCCACCTGGGCTCCCTCCCAGTCACTTCTCCCCTTAGGGTAAGTAACTATTATCCTGACTTCTAACAGCAGAGATTCCTTTTGCCTGTTTTTGTACTTTATACAAATGGAACCACAGAGAATATGCTTCTGATCCACATCACGTTTGCGAGATTTATCACTGTTTAACCTGGGTAATCAGGATGGACTCAATATAATCACATGAGTCCTTAAGCGCAGAGGATCTTTCCCAGCCTCTGTCAAAGGTGACGCAAACTAGAGAAGCCTGGTCAGAGAGATACAACGTGGTTGGCTTTGAATAAGAAGGAAGGGAGCCATGAGCCAGGAAATCCCTTGGCGGTCTCTAGAAGCTGGAAAAGGCCAGCGAGTGAATATTCCCCTGGAGCCGCCAGAAAGGAATGGAGCCCTGCCAACATCTTGATTGCAGCCCATTGAGATGCTTGTGGGACTTCTGACCTCCAGAACTGCAAGATAATAAATGTGGGTAGTTTGAAGCCACCAAGACTGTGGTGATTTGTTACAGCAGCCATGGGAAACCATACCATGGAAGACTGCTGGCACGAAAATGTTAAAGTCCTTCCAAGCTCATTTCCGAGCAGCCGTTCTTAAACCACACACAGTAGCAAGTACTAGAACGACGCAGTCCCTCACCCGCTCCCGGAGATGAGGGCTCGAACACGCTGGAAGAGTCACTGTAAGTGTTGGAGGCTTGTTCCGACAGCTTCTTTTTGCCACTCCCTTCTGACGACTTGTGTGATTTCTTTTTATTTTTCACCAAAATTTTATACATCAAGTCCATAGGGCTTGGAAGAGGAACTCCAGATTCCAGCTAATGGAAAAAAAAAAAAAGCACATTCTTTAAAAATACTGCTCCTTCTTTCCAGATTCCTGCTCCGAACCCCCGGCACGGCGTAGGGTATCAAGAATGTCTAGACTGTTCTTGATTGTCTTCTACACTGCTCAGTAAATGGCTCAAATGGGTCCTGCATGGGGCTGGCTATCACCTTTTTAAATTATTATTATTACATGAAAGGTATATTTTAATTATTTTGACTATTATTTTTCTACAAAAAATCTACATGAATGAGATCATTGAAATGTACTGGTAGATTTGGTGTACTAAATCTGAACTTCCGTGACATTTCCCATGGACTATGTAAACCCAGCCATCTTAATTTAGGAGAAATAAGAAAGACTTGGTCTGAATTGTCAAAGTAGGAAAGCCAATTCAAATGTGGCTTCTGCCAGGAAGAGTTGGTAAACATGGGCAGGAGCTTCTAAATGAGCCCGTGGAATCAGCTTTCCAGAAACAGTAACAACAAAAAAAAATCCAGCAGAGAGTATCGCCCCCAGACACCCTTTTAGCTCAGTAATGAAGTCACTCCTGAGGTTCACCCTTCAGCCAAAGATTAGACTGGCCCATAAAACAAAACGAGACTAAAGGGGCACAACAGCCAAGGGACAAGGACTAGAAGGCAGGAGGGGACAGGAAAGCTGGTGATAGAAAACCCAAGGTTGAGAAGGGACAGTGTTGACATGTCATAGGGTTGTTAACCATTGTTATAAAACAACATGTATACTAACAGTTTAATGAGAAACTATTTGTTCTGTAAACCTTCATCTAAAGTGTAATAAAACAACAACAAAATCTAAATACATAAATTAAAAAACCCAGTAAAACCGCCATTCAGGCACTCAGTAGTTCAGCTGCAGAGCTCCTTGGTGTCAGAAGTGAACTAACTAGGTGGCTTCAGATTTCCTGCTAGCTCGGAGATTCACGCCACCTTTATTTGCAAGCCTTATTTCTAGTATTTCAAGCTTGCACATCTAATGGGAAAATCAATGTCCCATGAGAGGGTTATTAGATACTGTATCAGAGAGCATGTGTGTAAGTCACAAGACAGGTTATTTTTAGAAAATCTATTGAATTCCCATAAGTTAGTCCTCTTCTTTGCTTGCAGTGGGTCTGGGGACTGGTGTGAACTCACTTAAGGATGTGTGGAGACCGGGCAAAGGAGAGGAAGAGGGAAGAGGCTACTTTAGGATATTCTCACGGCTTCCTTCCGAATGCAGGCATGTGCACAGCAATAAGAGGCCTGGGACCTGCCGCACCAGCAGGTCCAGGTGAGGAAATAAGCAGCAACCAGCAGGGACAGGCCACGTGTAGTGTCTTGTTTTGCCACCCATTTCTCTCAAAGGGTGTGATGAGGGTCCCTGAGAAGTTGTCAGAGCTCTGTCAGCTCCGGACTGTCTGTGTGGGCCGATTGTACTTGGTGGGAATTCTGCGCTCCTGACTGAGTCACGTGTGGCTGGGAGGGAGAGAGAAGGCTGTGGGAAGAAGACAACAGACGCATGTCTCCATCCCTCCACATTGCCGGCATCCTCCTGGTCCACCGGTTCATTATCAGCTACATCAATCTCATCAGGAACCTTAAACATGCCAAGGGAGTGAGGAAGCTTCCTCCCAACCCCAAACCAACAAAATCTAAACCCACTGCCGTGACCTCGATTCTGAGTCGTGGCAACCTCATGGGTTACAGAGTAGAACTCCTCCATCGGGTTTTCTTGGCTGTAAATCGTTACGAAAGCAGATTACCAGGCCTTTCTTTTATGGCACTGTTGGGTGGGTTTGAACCGCCAACCTTTAGGCTAGTACTCGATTGCAGACCTCTCGCGCCACCTAGGGACCTTTTCTTCCCCTACCCCAATCATACACAATATGCATGCTCCTTCAGGAGCAAACATCACAATTGCTTACTGGGTATTTTTCCAGTGGCTCCATGAGAAGGGCATCCCCAAATATCAGTCGGCAGTACTCCGCCATCTTGGCTTGCTGTTTTGGGCTAAGGGAGAACAAGAAAGAAAGGAAGCTTATTCAAAGGGCCCGAACAGGATTACGTTGGTGTTACTAGTCACAGAAAGAGGTGATTCCCTCACCCTATCATTCAGGATCAGTTTTCATCATTCTGAACCCCTTGTTTATTATCCTGACTCCTGAGAATCTGAACAACACAAACAGGTAGATAGTGAAGGCAGCAGCTGTAAGGCTGTTCCTAAGGCGGACCTGCATGGACACAGGCAGAGGGGACAGCAGGTCATTTGCCTGCCCCTGGATTTTGGAAATTTCCCGAGTTAGACTCAGTTCCTTTGGTTTAATTTCCTGATTCTAAGTCAAATGCAAGACACTTGGAGGGGAAGAATGTCTCAGTGTGAATTCTTGGGTGAAATTCTTTGTCAAAATGTGAGCGAGCTGAGTTGCAAAGGAGTGTTTATAAGGAAGTAGGTGAGGAAGAGAGGGAGGGAGGGAGGAGAGAGTGAGAAAGAGAGAATATTTTAAAATGTAGAAAAGGGCAGACCTTGGGTGCACTAGCTGAGGGGGGATCCTACAGGAAAGTTAAAAGGAGCCGGTGTCTTGGGGAAAGGTGTGGGCTACTTTCATGTGCATAATGAGGAAGCAGAGGGGATTATGAGCCTGAGTATGTTGCCAATGGGAACCTGATCTGATGGAGAAAGGCAGAGCTGCAGGGTTCCCTGAACTGAGCTCGTGCTCTGGACCACTCTGCCTGTATAAAATAGGGAGAATAACAACTGTTCTTGGAAAGAGACAAAGCCCGCTGAGAAGATGAAATGAAGTAATGGATGCAAACGTGCTTTAAATATTGAAAGAGAAGGGCAAAGGTAAGACAATCCCACTGTTAGATGGCATCATCCACCAGCTGGACGAGACACTCGTGTGCCCGGTAACATGCGAACACAGTTGATGTAAGCGAACTTCCGCATTTTTTCAATACTCCTGCTTTCCTTCATCTTTTCAAAAAGCAATAAAATATTTCTCTCATTCGGCAGAATGTTCAATATCATTATAGAGTTGTTCAATTCCGTTGGATTTTATGGGCGCTGATTTTGATCTACAGGCTGTAGATCTACATGCCGCAATGTTAATACGTTTTAGCAGAACTAGGGCTGTACTAAGAATAAGTAAGAGTGATAAAAAGCCTTTCTTTACTACGATTCAAATCTATTATAAAATGGGGTGCTTATTTTCTGTCCTTCTTCTATGAATGTTAAATCTGGATCATGGACTGTTTTTTCTTGGGGGGTGGTGCTTCGGGAGTTCAAATTATATTGCAATAGTCCACAGGGAAAAATACTTTTTATATCCTTTTTAGGAGTCTTGGTGGCACAGTGGTTAAGAGCTATGGCTGTTAACCAAAAGGTCAGCAGTTCGAATCCACCAGCCGCTCCTTGGAA